CCCCCCCTTCCCACTCCTGCTCTGCCCCTGCCCCACCCCCACTCCACCCCTTCCCCATAGCCCTCACCCCTGCTCTGCCCCTGCCCCACCTCTTCCCACCCCTGCTCCGCCCCAGCCCTACCCCCACTCCACCCCTTCCCCTGAGCTACATCCTGGGGAACTGCAGCTGGGGGTTGGGCGTGCCGTGCACTCACCGGACAGCTGGAAGTAGAGCAACCTGACCCCAACCCACTCCGCATGGCCGGTGAGTGCTGGGGGGCAGGTGACGGTCCCCCCTGCCGCCCAAGTCCCAAAGCTGAGAGCCAGGGAAACAAAGCAGACCAGGCTGGGGCCGGGGCACTCCACTTCCTACCGTCCCGTGAGTGCAGGGTCGGGCCTGCCCTGCAATCACCGGGTGGCAGGAAGTGGAGCGACCTGGCCCCAACCCGCTCTGCTCCACCGGCTCGTGCTGGGGGGCGGTTTCCCCCCTGCTTCCCAAGCCTGCTCCTGCCCCCCACAGTCCTGGGGCACACCCCCACCCCCACGGAGGCCTAGGGCCAGCCCCCCCCACTCCGCGGGGGTGTTGGATAGGGCACCACAATGTCTAGGGACGGCCCTGCCTATGGGTAACATTGTCAGTTTGTCTCGAAGGGGGAAGACGTGATGGAGTGGGAATTTTTCATATTTTTAATTTTGGATGACTACTGTGTGTGCCTCTGTTTCCCCTGTGTGGTGCATAGTTAAATAGGTTGGGGGGAAAGGTTGTGTACTCTTTGCAGCGACCCAGAAATACAGGCAGGACCAATGCCTGGGGCCCATGCCCGTGGAGAGTCCCAGAAGACACTGGCCACTCCAATTGCCTGGACTTTTGGCACCTAGCAACAAATGACCATGGATCGCCCACCCTCCATAGGAAGCCAGCTGGGTGTGATGAACTGAAGAACAAAGAACTGGGGAGGGGTTGGGGGAGGGGTTGTATTGTGAGGGCTGCTGGAGGCAGAGGGAAGTTTCTAGAATCGGATTACAAAGGGGTCAGAGGGCTCTGAGCTCTGAATTGACCCAGATGGACTCTGCTGTAACTTTTCATTTTGTCAGTGCTTCTCAACCAGAGGTACTCTACCCATGAGGGTATTCAGAGGTCTTCCAGGGAGTACATCAACTCTTCTAGATATTTGCCTAGTTTTACAACAGGGTACATAAAAAGCACTAGCAAAGTTAGTACAAACTAAACAATAACTTGTTTATATTGCTCTCTATATCATACACTGAAATTTAAGTATACTATTTATACTACAATTAATTTATTTTATAATTATATGGTAAAAATGAAAAAGTCAGCAATTTTTCAGTACTAGTGTGCTGTGACACTTCTGTATTTTTATGTCTGATTGTGGAAGCAAGGAGTTTTTAAGTGAAGTGAAACTTGGGGATACATGAGACAAATCAGACTCCTGAAAGGGGTACAGTGGTCTAGGAAGGTTGAGAGCCAGTGTCAGTGTTAACTAAGGACTTTCTATGCTGTGTTCCAGACAGCTAATAAACCCATCTGCTTTTACTCAGCGCTGGCTGAGAGTCACTGTAGTCAGGAAGTTGGGGGTGCATTGCTCCATTTGGGTGTGCAAGTCTTTCCCAGGTGTCCAATTCAGGTGGACTTGCTGAGGGGAGCTCACGGTGGGAAGCAGGAGTGCTGAAGGCTCCAAGGTTGAGTCCCTGGAGGCAGGGCCGTCCCTAGCCATTTCGGTGGCCTCTGCAGCCCCCCTGTGGGGGGGCTATGAGGGGCCCCAGGCCTCCGGGGGGGAGGGGCTGGCCCCAGGCCTCCATGGGGAAAGGGCCGGGGAGAACGGGAGAAACCGCTTCCTGGCCCCAGCCTGCTCTGCTCTGCTCCCCTGGCTCCCAGCCTTGGGGGGCAGGGGGAAAACCGCCCCCCAGCACTCGCCAGTGGCACGGCTGGGAGCCAGGGGAGCGGAGTAGGCTGGGGCCAGGTTGCTCCACTTACCATACAGTGAGTGCAGGCCCATCCCCTGCAGCAGTCCTCAGTGGGGCAGAGCAGGGGTGGGGGCCATGGGGAAGAGGTGGAGCAGGAGCTGGAGCAGCACGCAGCTGTGCAGCGCACCAGGAAATGTGGTGCCCCAAATTCCCTGATGCCCTACGCAGCTGCATACTTTGCATATGGGTAAGGATGGCCCTGCCTGGAGGCAGTGAAGCCAAGAGGCCTACCCCAGTGACAGTGTCACCCTAAGGGGGCTGACACACAGAAGGGGTCCTCCCAGGGACTGTTCCAGAGTACTGGACCTGTGGATCCGTGACAGACCTCTCTCTAGGTCCTCACATCCAGGCTATGTCTAAATCTTGCTGATTCTTTCTGCATAACATCTCTAAGGCTATGCCTACACTACTGCGGTGTCGACCTACGCTAAGCAACTCCAGCTACGTGAATAACCTAGCTGGAGTCAACGTACCTTACGTCGAGTTACCGCGGGGTCTACACCGCAGGAGGTCGATGGGAGAAAATCTCCCGTCGACTTACCTTACTCCTCTCATCAGGGGTAGAGTACAGGGGTCGACTGGAAAGCGATCTGCAGTCAATTTGGCAGGTCTTTACTAGTCCCGCTAAATCAACCGCTGGTGGATTGATCTCATAGCGTCCACCCCGTTGTAGTGTAGCCGTGCCCTAAGATACGGCTTTTCCTATCTATCCACCCAACTCTCATCATCTTGTGCCTTGATTACTGCAACATCCTTCTCTCTGGCCTTGACAAATGCAATCTTGCCCCACCCGCATCCATCCAGAATAATGCAGCATTGATCATTTTCCTAACCCATCACTCTGATGTCACTCCTCTCTTTGAATCCCTCCACTTGCTCCCTGTTCTCTAGCACATCAAACATAAGCTGCTTTCAAGGCCCTTCACCATCAATCCCCACCCTACCTATCACCTTTCATTCAGTGTCACTATGCCGACACTTGCTCATGATTCCAGCCTCCAGTGCCCACTTATTAAATGTTTACATTTTTAAATTGATAATAGGGGATCTGGGCATATGCTATCCTAGGCACCCTGTGCTAATAGCCTTAATCCCCTTCTGCAGGGGCTCATGCTGAGCAGTGGCTCTCGCAATTACTGGCCACATTTTATCCAGGCAAGTTTTTTTTTATCAGTCATGTTCAAAATCTAGCTCCAGTTTAGCCAAATGCTCTAGAAAGTGTCTGCAAGCACTAAATCTCTCCCAGGTTTGTATTCCATTTGCAAATCAATTTGAAAAAATAATCTCTGTATTCTTGGGGGTCGGGCAAGAGGGTTGCCAGGCCCTTTTCATAATGGCAATAAATGGTTTAAGGTCAGTTTCGGCTAAAACTGGCCTCCCATAAATAAAGACATGAAACTGTTTACCCCCATAGACTCAGGCCAAAGCCACCTCCTCTGTTTGAGTGTACTGATGCTAAGGTGTCGGGAGGTATGACTGCAGCACGTGGACGTGCCTGAGCTAGCTTTGATCTCTTGTTTCTGACTTGGACTGTGGGTTCTGCATGCCTCTAGGCCTCAGGTCTTTTTTCTTGCAGTATTTTGGATTCTCTATCATGTCTACAGTGTCAGAGCTTCAATCTGGACTGGGTGACATCTGTTACTTGGCAAATTCTAATTGCTTGGTCTCCTAGTAGTCTCCGTCTGTAAGTGTTTTGTTCCAGATCCCAAACACGACCTGGTCTCTTACGAGGGACTCAGGTAAGCTCCCAAAACTGCATGATTGGCTCTTTAGCCTTAGATCAGACACAAAATCTTCTTCTATAGTTTCATCTTCCTTTTGTTCCCTTCTCTCTGATTAAAAACATCTCTCGTATGTCTCATTTTTAGGTGGAGTGCAGTACTCAAATGCCACTGCCAGTACTATGATTTCGTAGTTAGCCTCCTCTGCCTGAGTTAACTGAAAACTATTCAACACATCCAGTACTTCAGAACCAGCTATTGTCAGAAATGAGGCTTCTTTCTGACTGTTTCCTTTCTATTGGCACCCATGGCTTGTAGATGTGGAGTGAAGGGCTGTGTGAACCTTCTCCAGTTGTCTTCCAAATTCCAGAGCAGTCTGGTGGGGGCTTTTAACCACTCCATTCTTCCACTCAGGGTATTGTCTAAATGCGTTTTCACTCCTAGTACCACATGGTGTTCAGTGATCACTCAAAGTGCTTTACAGAGATCTGCTTCATTCACTATCTCAGTTTCAACTGCCTCTGAGTTACATAATATGAGCCTCTTAAAGGTACAATTACCCACAAGCTCCTCCTGCTGAGATAGGCTGAAACTGGGAGTTTCCCCTACAGCCAGCTTACTCACCCTGACTCTTACAGTGCCTCCTGCTGGGAGAGGCTGACTGGAGTGGCTCCCCTAACAGGCAACACTCTTGCCTTTGCCCTTCAGTTTCTCTTGCTGGGAGAGTCCAGGACTGTTTCATTTCTCCCCAGGTTCATGCCATCCCTCTCCGCTCGTCCTGGGTCATGACCTGTGCCTATGCACCCTCAGGGAATTTTGTGGCCTGTGGGGGTCTCGACAACATGTGCTCTATCTACAATCTCAAGACTCGTGAAGGGAACGTCAAAGTGAGCAGGGAGCTCTCGGCCCACACAGGTGAGTACCCTGCCCACCTCTGCAGCCCAGGGCATCCCTGCCCCTGAGCCTCACTCTCCTGCCCCCGCCCTTGCCCCCATTATTCTCGTCATCTATTATTCCTGCCCCTCAGGTTACCTCTCCTGCTGCCGATTCCTGGATGACAATAATATCGTGACGAGCTCCGGAGACACCACGTGGTGAGTGATTCCCTTCATCCTCTCACCAGACATTGGTGTTACTAACTAATGATTTTATTGCAAGTCCCCAATATGTGGCATTTATCTTAAAGCTCCAACCCCAGGAGTCATGGGATTAGGACAGAATCTCAGTTTTTAGCCCTGATGGTTGCAGAGAAAACTGGAAAATGTGACCCCAGTGCATCTTAAAGGCTCAAAAACCAGATGACAACAAAAATAAACCCAAAGTTTTTTATGTTTGAAACTCGTGACTCGATTTTTGAATGCTTGGAGTGGCAATTCTGAGGCACAGAGAAGTATGGAAGGGCTACAAAGAGGAGGCTGATTCCTCTCTCCTTCTGTATAATAAACTTGGTATTTTTCTTTCCAGCTGAGGCCAGGTCTACACTAGAAAGTTTGCTAGTATAGCTGGTACAGTTTACAGCACGTTAGTGAGCAAAATAAGCTACACAGACAAACAGCACGTTTATGCCAGTAAAATTACAATAATCACCCCCTAGGCAACATTGCTGTGCTACCAAAAGTTTCTAACATAGACCTGGCCAGAGTTAGCTCAAGCCCTTACTCTTAGGCTACACCACCACCGCCTGGTTGTATAGGTGGTAAGCTGTATTGACACAATGTGATAAGAAGGCTCCAGTTGCGTTAAGCTGACTTGATTGGTAAAAACATCTTTTTCCATAAAGTAGGCTAGGCCGTAGTTTCCACCCCTTCTTTTAAAATAGGGTAAACTTCCCAATGTAGCCTTAAGGCTGGTCCATCTCCTGTGGCCACAAGACTCTAGCACTTCTGTTGCTGTAGCCTGAGGACTCTTCTCTCCTCCCCTTACAGCGCACTCTGGGATATTGAAACAGGACAGCAGAAGACTGTGTTCATGGGTCACACTGGAGACTGCATGAGCCTGGCCGTCTCCCCAGACTTCAAACTCTTTATCTCCGGGGCCTGCGATGCCACTGCCAAGCTGTGGGATGTACGGGAGGGAACCTGCCGTCAGACATTCACAGGGCATGAGTCAGACATCAATGCCATCTGTGTACGTACCCTGTCCAGCCTGGGGGAACAGCAAATATGTGTGTTTTAGGCCCAGGACTGAAACAATCATGGGGGCACTGTCATAGTTGTGTGTGGGGAGCTACCCATCTGGGTGCTAACGTGGGACTTGGAAGATCTGGGTTTTGTTCCCTGCCCTAGAGCAAGCTCCTCAGTCTCTCTGTACCTCAGTCCCCAACTGTAAAGGGGACAGTAGCATTGCCCTACTTCGCTGGGGTGTAAAACCACTAACATTTACAAGGGCCCTGGGCTGGAATGGCAGGGGCGTTGACAGAGCTGGGGTGGGGGGCAGGCTGGTGTAGTAGGTGCTGTGGGGCAGGATTATGGTCCCTTGCATGAATGGTGCCGTCTCCCTCTTCAGTTCTTCCCCAATGGTGAAGCCATCTGCACAGGTTCAGATGATGCCACCTGCCGCCTCTTTGACCTGCGGGCAGACCAGGAGCTCATCGTCTATTCCCATGAGAGCATCATCTGTGGAATCACCTCAGTCGCCTTCTCCCGTAGCGGGCGTCTCATGATGGCTGGATATGATGACTTCAACTGCAACATCTGGGACTCCCTGAAGGGGGAGCGTGTGGGTGAGTGGGTCCTGGAGTTGCCTGTAAAGGCTGCCTACTGCAATGGAGGCCTGGGAACCCCAGCAAGACACTCCATAGGAGACAAAGCCCCCTTTTCTAGGAGGGGCAGGTTAGTAGCCGGGGAGTCAATTCTCCTAGAGGCTCTCCGTTGTGGAATGTAAGTTACCCTTTACTAGAAAGGGCAGGTTACAGTTCTGCTGAGGGAAATGCCTCCTCTTGGCATTAAGGTATGCAGAAGATGCTTGCTAGGATGACGTGCACAGCTGGCGTGGTGCATAGTGGTGTACGGGCACGTAGGCCACATTCCCACAGACACTGTAGCACGTCTCCCCCCGCCCTTCTCTTTTGATGATGTCTGCTCTCTCTCCCCTTCAGGGATCCTCTCCGGTCATGACAACAGGGTGAGCTGTCTAGGGGTGACAGCAGATGGCATGGCCGTGGCTACTGGCTCCTGGGACAGCTTCCTCAAGATTTGGAACTGAAGAGGATGATCGGGAGAGGGAGATTATTGGGAGGTGTTTACAACAAACACAGTCAGTTGAGCACAATTGGTATTTCTACCTGTTAGTCACAGGCATGTCTCTCTCTCTGAGGGAAAGGAGCCCTCCATTAGCTGTTCCCCCCAACCCAATTCCTAAATATGGCATAAGGCTTTCAGCCTGGGACAGGTTGTAGGACCCCAGATAAGTGAGACTGTTTCACAAGCTTTAGGACCTTGCATTGCACACCCACTGACTCCACCCCATTTTATCCCTACTTTGTCCCCCCCACCCGAAAGACAAACACCGTTCCCTGAAAAAGACCTCTACTTGAGGCAGGGACCCCCCTCCACTACAACCATTGCTCCAGACACACCTCCCCTAATCCTCCCAAAGAGAGGAACCCTCCTCCTTGCAGACGGGGGTAGAGAGAAGAGATTTTAGCCAGCTAGGACTCTGCATTGAGCTTTGCTAAGAGGGGCTAATTTCTGTGGGACTCCCTCCCCCCACCAGTTAGCCCAGTTTTATCTATGCATCAAATGTGGGAGGGGAGTTCACTGTCCCATCTAGGGCATCAAGGACAGGGAAATGTTAATTTATTTTTATTTATATTCCTGTAGCTGTCCCCTTCCCCTCATCCACATGTGCTGTGTATTGCTCTTGCATTAGCTTGTAGACCACCTCAGCCCCTGCTTTCAAGATGTAACTATCATACAGGAGTTTCAGACAAAATAAAAAGATCAAGTGAGATGCATGTGCTGTATCATTTGAGCCAGACACTGGCCTAGGCTACTGCAAATGATGCTTGGGAACACAGGGGATAATAATCTAGGAACTCCTACATGTCTACTGCACTCAGTTCTAGCCCCTCACTCCCAGAGGCAGCCCCTAGGGGAGGGAGAAGTCATGGGCCTCCCCCTCTCTTGGTGCCCTGGGAGGACTATGCAGTCTCCCACCTACTTCCACCCCATGCCAAACACTTGGCTGCTCCCTCTGGAGTACACAAGGGGTCAAGTTGGGAGCAGGAGATTGAGATTTGCTTCCGTCAGCCACTGAAAGCCTCTCAGGGAGCTGAGGATTTGGGAAGGCCCCTCCATCAAGCTCAGGAAATTCTGAGCCAGCAGCGAGCCAGCAGACACCTTCCTGGGGTCCCAGTTTGTTGTAGCTAAGAAAGGACCTAACCATATGAGATGCCAGAGGTAGCAATAAAGAGGTTATGACCACACTTACAACAGAAACTAGCATACCAAAGAGAACACCCAGCATGCAATGCTCACGAGTGGAGGGGTACAACTCCCAGCATGCCATATTCTCGTCCCAGAGGGAGGTATCCCCCAGCCCCAGAATAGCTCTTCAAAGTAGGTGTAGCTCCCCCCTAGTAACTACCGCTCTTAGCACGTCACAGACCCTGGCTTAAATGGCATATGCCATTGAATGCTGGAGATCAGTCTCTGCTTCCCTTCAGGGTTGGTGGGGGATTCCTGCCATACAAACCAAATTGTTTTGGGCCCAAGTTTCAGCAACAGCTGAACTGGACAGGCACTGGGCAAGGAGGTGACTGCTAGCCCAGGCAGGATGCAGCAAGACACTGGTGCAGCCAGATTGTCTTTAAAGTGTGTTTATTAACCACATGCATGGGCTTATAAATTGAGGCAGTACAAGTGAGGTTTCAGAGACCAACAGCCACATAGCACAGAAGCCTGTACATGAAAAGAGATATGCATAAAATTAGGGGAGAGAAAAGGAAGTACTGTTCATTCTCTCCGCCTGAAAAGATTGGGTCAGAAGAGACTACAGGCCCAGGGTGTCCCTACCCAAAAGAGCAGGATCCTTTGTCCTTAGAAGTCTCCATTCCAGAAGCACAGATAGAAGAAAGGGTTATTGTCAGGAGTCCAAGGGAAAGGGGACTCCCCAAACCCTTTAATTCTCCACCAAATGACAGTGTTGATTCTCTTTGTTCAAATCATTCCAGGCATGGCCCCCTGATTTGAGGCTGCACCCTGGATCTGCTGCCACCTCCTTCCACTCCCCCAGGTTCTCTGCCAGCAATGGGTGCCTCTTACCCTGGAGAGGAGAGAAAATTACTTAGTGCAAAGGCAAGTTAGTCTGAAGTGTTCCTCTCTGGGGCTCTGGTGAGACCCTACATGAGATACTGCACCCAGCTCTGGGCCCCTCAGTCCTTTAAAGGTAGGCAGAGCTCAGAAATATGCAGGGATCATGCGGTAAACAAACATTTTAAAATCCCCCTGGCTGCACCTGCATCTTGATACATCCCACAGGGGCTAGCAATCACCTCCTTGCTAGGGTCTGGGGAGAGATTCAAAGAGAAGGTAAAGCCATGATATGGTGAGAGGATCATCTGCAAGTGTCTGAGGAGGCTCAAACCTGGGGGGTGAGGGGTGGGGGCATAGCAGGTTAAGACCGAAAAGGGGGAAAAGGAACTTAGAAACCAACCCTCAGCACTGAGGGGTTTGTGAGCCCAAGTCATCTCTCCAAAGGGCCTGGAGCCCCATTGTTTGGGAAAACAATTCTGAACTGAGCTCATGGGATGTTTAGAACTTGAAGGGGCTCCAGCCCCACTCTGCCCCTTATGGGGTCCTAATGCCTCATCCCGCAAGACTCCCACTAAGCATCACCTGGCGAGGAGTGAGAGTACTCGGGGAATTGTCGTCTTGTAGGATGCTGAGGGGAGAGCGCCCGGTACCACCAGAGGCTGCCAAGACTTTGTTGCTGGCCTTGCGTCTTGTGGGTTTGCCCCCTGGAGAGAGAGAGAGAGATGCAATCAATTGCAGCTGCAATTCAGTTAGAGGTTCAGCAATTTTATAATCCTTTCTGCCCTTTATGATAATCTAGTCTGACCTCCTGCATAGCACAGGCTAGAGAATTTCTGCAAGTGACTCCTGCACCACCCAATGACTTGTGAGTGAACTAGAGCATCTTATTGAGAAAGAGCTCAGTCCTATTTTAAAAGACTCAAATCTACCCCACATATAGGTAAATTGGTCCAATGGTTAAATAATCTCACTGTCATCTCCCACATGCACCGATCCTTTGCTACTCTCCCCTCCTGAGGGCTATGGAGTCCCTCTGCTCTGTGATTGCCACCTGCTAGAGCTTCTCCCCATGCTCATAAGCAAGGACACAGGTCCTGCCACACATAGGAGAAACATCCTCTCCAAACTGTGCTCCCATATTACAGCCCCTTCACCTCTCACCCCATAGACATTCCCTTGGGCAAACTGCCATCTTTGGCTGAGGCACACCACAAACTGTGCCTCTCAACCCAGTAGCAGTTGGTCAACCTTACCAGTTAAATGCCCTCCACTTAAAACAAGCAATGCTTTTTATCATGCATCTTTCCCCTTTTCTCCAACATAAGAACAGCCATGCTGGGTCAGACCAAAGGCCCATCTAGCCCAGTATTCTGTCTTCCAAGAGTGGCCAATGCCAGATGCCCCAGAGGAAATGAACAGAACAGGCAATCATTGAGTGATCCATTCTCTGTTGCCCATTCCCAGCTTCTGGCAAACAGAAGCTAGGGACACCATCCTTGTCCATCCTCGCTAGTAGCCATTGATGGACCTATCCTCCATTAACTTATCTAGTTCTTTTTTGAAACCTGTTATAGTCTTGGTCTTCACAACATCCTCTAGCAAAGAGTTCCACAGGTTGACTGTGTGAAAAAAAATACTTCCGTTTGTTTTAAACCTGCTTGAAATTCATTTAATTTGGTCACCCCTAGTTCTTGTGTTATGAGAAGGAGTAAATAACACTTCCTTATTTACTTTCTCCACATCAGTTATGATTTTATAGACCTCTATCATATCCTCCTTTAGTTGTCTCTTTTCCACGCTGAAAAGTCCCAGTCTTATTAATCTCTCCTCATATGGCAGCTGTTCCATACCCCAAATCATTTTTGTTGCCCTTTTCTGAACCTTTTCCAATTCCAATATCTCTTTTTTGAGATAGGGCAACCACATCTGTACGTAGTATTTGAGATGTGGGCATACCGTGGATTTATATAGAGGCAATATGATATTTTCTGTCTTATCAATCCCTTTCTTAATGTTTCCCAACATTCTGTTCGCTTTTTTGACTGCCGCTGCACATTGAGTGGATGTTTTCAGAGAACTATCCACAATGACTCTAAGATCTCTTTCTTGATTGGTAACAGCTAATTTAGACCCCATCATTTTATATGTATAGTTGGGATTGTTTTTTCCAAATGTCCATTACATTGCATTTATCAACATTGAATTTCATCTTCCATTTTGTTGCCCAGTCACACAGTTTTGTGAGTTCCCTTTGTAGCACTTCACAGTCTGCTTTGGACAGAAGTCTAGTATCTTGAGTAGTTTTGTATCATCTGCAAATTTTGTCACCTCTCTGTTTACCCCTTTTTCCAGATTATTTATGAATATATTGAATAGTACTGGTCCCAGTTCAGATCCTTGCGAGACACCACTATTTACCTCTCTCCATTCTGAAAACTGACCATTCATTTTTACCCTTTGTTTCCTATCTTTTAACCAGTTACTAATCCATGAGAGGACCTTCCTTCTTATCCCATGTCATCTTACTTTGCTTAAGAGCCTTTGGTGAGGGACCTTGTCAAAGGCTTTCTGAAAATTTAAGTACACTATATCCACTGGATCCCCCTTATCCACATGCTTGTTGACCCACTCAAAGAATTCTAGTAGATTGGTAAAGGGATTGGTAAATGTCTCACAAAAACTATGTTAACTCTTCCCCAACAAATTATGTTCATCTATGTATCTGACAATTTTGTTCTTTACTATAGTTTCAACCAGTTTACCCGGCACTGAAGCCAGGCTTACTCCCCTGTAATTACCAGGATCACCTCTGGAGCCCTTTTTAAAAATTGGCATTACATTAGCTATCCTCAAGTAATTTGGTTCAAAAGCTGATTTAAATGATAGGTTACAAACCACAATTAGTAGTTCTGCAATTTCACATTTGAGTTCCCTTGGAATTCTTGGGTGAATACCATCTGGTCCTGGTGACTTAACAGTCAATTAAAAACACAACAGTGAGGAGGGGAGGCAGGGAATTAACAACAGGGAGCTGGTGACGGGGAAAGGAGACAGTGGGTGTGCTTCATCCGGAATATAAAGCGGTGGAAGGA